TGGCCAGTTAGAATTAAGTCCCTATTTGTAGGAAACCGGCAGGCAGTTCATGGGGTACCCAGCTCCTTCATTAGCCCTGGAGGCTCAGAGTACTGAGAGTCCAGTGGCTACACATTTCTTTTGGTCTAAAATAGCTGGTAATTTGTATTTAAGTAAACTACGAGCTCCGTTTGTGATAGGAGCCCCATGTGACTGCACAGGAGCAGGTCCATCATCCCTTTGAAAAGCAGAGGCACTGATCACTGGGGCTGGTGGGGGTCTGGGCAGGCAGGTCCACGCTGACAGCTTGTTTGCTTCAGAGGATGATGTTCAGACGTTCAGTGGTCTTACTCCCTGTGTTGTCTCAAATGCTGGGATAAAGTGAAATTCACCAAGGAACCCTCCAGCAGTATTGGTTGGTAGAAAGTATTGTTTTCATTGTTTGTTACACATTGCTCTTTTAAAGCTGATTTTGAAAAATTAAAATCACATTATTTTTTAAAAGACTTTATGCTTTAAATTGTGGCAACTGAAAGTATTAGACATGTATATTTATCAGCAAAATTATTTTAATCTGAGGTACCTGGATATTTGGTATCCGTTAAGACTTACTAGTTAAACTTCTCATTGAAGACACAGCTCCCGCTTTTGCTGTTGGGTTGCCCGTCCTGATAGCTCTTTGAGATCATCTGTTCTTGTGCCTGTTGACAAGACACTTGATAAGTATCTCACAGATCATGGACAATAGGACGTAAAACCTGCATCTCCTCTCAGAGCAGTTTTGTTCCCGTGGTATACAAGTCGTAGGGGTGGGATTGATGGAGCACATGTGCTGCCGGGGGTGGGAGCCTGCAGAGACACCTGGAGAAGGTGTGTTTTTGCTCGTGAGGTTTTTAACACACATGAGTGTGAGATGGAAATCATGCTGCCTCTTGGGTTTACAAGATGCTTAACCCCATTTAGCTTAGAAGGATGAAAGTTCTCCTCTTTGTTTTAGTTTTTGAACTACTATGCTCAATTTTAAATTTAAAACTTAGGAAAATTGTCTTTCCCATTTGATGAAGTGTGAACTGTGCAGACCCTCTGGCCTTTATGAATTAGCACATCTGAATCCGTGTACTGTTCTGCCCACAGTCACCCTCCAAATATTAATCTTGGGATTTAAGCGTAGAGTATGACACTTTTATATTTAAGTTGTACTTTTATGAACATTTGTTTTGAATTTTGAGTGCACAGCCTGTGTTCCCTCGATCTTAGATGGTTTGCGTGCTGTGCGTGCTGAGCCCTCTCCCCGTGGTGCAGCCGCGGGCTCCTCAGAAGCACATGGACATGTGGTGCGTTCTCCTTCCCCGTGGGCACGTCCGGTGCTCGTGGGGCTGGTTCCCTCTCTGCTTCTCTGTCTGATGTGGGGCCTTGTGTCTTCAGTGGCCAAGACGGTCCTCCCTTGAGCAGCCGTGGTTTTTCAGCCAAGGACGGATGTGACTGGATTTGTGTTCAGAACAGGGACGCACCCTCTTCCTGGACACAGGCTCCTTGGAGACATGCCGACCCCAGGGCGCAGGCAGAGGGAGAGCAGATGAGCCTGGAGCAGCTCCTGGTGCCAGCAAGTAGCCACATGCTCTCAGAAGGCGGGTGGGGGGGGTGGGGCTCATCAGGCGGGCAGCGCAGGGACTGGCGGGCCGACAGCGCCCCGGGCCAGGCCATGGGCACAGTGGGGAAAAACTGTTCAGTTTTGCTTTGTTAAAACACTGGGCACTGCGGGCCATTGGGCGGGCTTGCCTGCTGTTGGCAGTGGGGTCTGGATCTCAGTCGAGCTGGAGGACCTTTCAGCTTTCATCCCGGCCTGAGATGGGAGTGGGAAGGGAGAGAGGCCGGGCGTGAGGAAGTGAGAGCCCCGTCGTCCACTTCTGTGTCGTCTCTGCAGCACACCTGTGTTGTCTGTCTTGCAGCCTCGCCCACAGAGGTGTTTCTGCCCATTTTACGGAGGGAAACAGTGAGGCTCAGAAAGACCACGTAACTCAGACAAGGTTTCCTACCTAGGAATGGCAGAACTGTGGCTTAACCCAGTTGAACCCAACTCCTGGAGGGATCCCTGTTGGGTATTGTGGGAGAGGGGAGGAGCTCTGCGTGGGGAGACCTGCAGGTTCACCCTGTGCTCTGAGCCTCCTGCTGACCGAGAACCTCCTCTCCTCTCAGGGTTACGAAACTTTGCTTCCTAGTAACGAGGCTGAGGCGGCAAGTATTGAGCCCTTGAGTCTTATGCTATATTTAGTTTTTAAACTGTCAGTGGGGACACTACAGGGCCTGGCAGCCCTGAGCAGGGTCCCACAGTCAGGAGACATGGAGAGGGGCCCTGTCCCTGGCAGGGCTGCCTCTGGTGGGGCGTTGGCTGGGATGATGTTTGAACCCCAGCTCTTGCCATCCTTCCCTACTGGGGAGGCCCAGAACCCGAAGCAACACCTGGCCAGCCCCCGTGGGGCGGCGGGGGAGCCTGGGTGGCAGATGAGGCCGCCCTCAGACCACGGCCCTCAGACCCAGGCCCCTTATAAGGAGCTCTCATCTTCCAGAACCAGGTGTGAGGCAAGCTTGTCGCCCCCAGACCCCACCCAAGTTGGGTTCTGGCCCCCGGGACCTCAGCACTGGAGCGCTCAGCCTGGGGCTAGGGCTGAATCTTGTCCCTGAGGAAGGACCACGTGTTCTGAACCTCCCAACGGGCTGAGGCCCCTGCAGCGGTCGTGCGGGGACACCGCAAAGCCAGCGAGTGGAGAACCAAAGGGCCTCGAGAGCCAGAGGCTTTGCAGACACGCCGCCAGGTAGCTAGCTCCTTGGTGAAAACCCCTATTAATTAGGCTGTAAATACAAGTTATTTACGCAGTCCGTTGAATTCAGTGAAAGTGCCACGGGCTTTTGTTCTTTTCCTTGTCCCTACGCACTACCGATGTCTCAGCTCGGGATCCACGGCAGAAAGCCTAGGCGGTGAGTTCCTGGCCAGCCTGCTGTGTGCCGCGCCCTTGCTGCCTGTTGTCAGGGCACCTGTTCAAGCAAAATGGTCAGGTGCCCAATCCACTTCAGTGTTCCCTGGAGAAGGGGGCCTTCTGGGGGCCTGGCTTGCACTGGTTTCTCCCCGGGATTGCTGTGTTTTTATGTCGGGTTCTTCAGGCTGTGTGGCTGCTCAGCTGTGGTGCAGGCACTGCTTGGTGATGACCTGTGTCGGGTTTTCCTGTAGTGTTGTTGTGTGTTCGGATAAACACGTGTGTGCAGAAGCTTCGGCTCAGAGGTGACCTCAGCTGGATGCCCGTGTCAGCCGCCGCCAGCCCAGGCGAGTCTCAGGCTCCGAGCTTCCCTGAGTTTGTTTTAGAGCAGGGTGCCCAGTTAGGATTTTACCTTAATATTTGTTCTAGTTCATAAAAATGCTGACTTGTTGATAGTTTGTAGGTAAAGTTTATTTTATCTGCCTTTGGTTTCCCCTGGAAATTGCCACCCAGTCTTCTGGAATAGAGTGTTTTCCCCTCTGCCATTTAAGGAAATGCACAGGACAGTTCAATTTCTAACAGAAACTTGGAACCTACCTTCTGGACGTGTCTTTGAGCGCCGGTCTAACGGAACAGCCTGTCTCCCCGTGACGCATGCACTGCCCGGGGCCGTCTGCAGAGGCCTTGGGAATATTCTGAGCCGGGCCCTGCGCCGTTCAACCAGGCAGAGGTGGGGGTTGGAGTCCAGCGTTGCCGGGACCCGAGACCGTAAATGAGGGCATCGTCTCCAGAGACAGTTTCTTCCATCCAGGGCCTCCTGGCCAAGCGGGCAGCCAGCCATCAGGCCACCAGGCCAGCGGGCGGGTGGCATCAGGACCCCGGGCTCCTCCCAGGCGCCCGGCCAAGCACTGCTTGGGCTTGAATAGTTTTCTGAGAAGGGCTTTCGTGTTTTTAGACCCAAGTTGTGTTTTTTCCAACTAGTACCAGTTGGAGGGGGTTGTTTCTGCTGCGAGGGCTGTCTGAGCACATGATGAAATGAGGAGTGGTCTGCGTCTTTAGGGTTGTGCTTCCCACGTGGGGACAGGACACTGCCCTCTGTGACCCACAAGCCACTCAGTGGCCCCTTCAGACTTCCCCTCTCACGTCACCACGTCCTCAGTGGCCCAAACATCTCAGTGGCCCCCTCATCATCTGAAGAACTCAAACCCTTCTCCAGGGTCCCGATTTCTGCCCCACGGTGCTTGGTTACTCCAGAGCAGCTCTCTCTTTGCTGATTTGTTTCTGAATTTAATGAGGTTAAAACAGGTTCATTGGGTGAACCTTTTCCCCTCACCTTTTCTAGGATGCTGTTTTGAGATTGTACCTGTTCGTTGTTCACACTTAAGTCAGGACAGAAATATTTATTCATTGTGGCAGCTCTTCCCCTCCAGCTAGATCAGAATGTAAACTAAAATAAGCCAAATGAAGACTCTGCACACCCTTGTGAGAACCTTGCCGGCTGTGCTGGTCCCCAGCGGGTGCCCTGGAGGGAGGAGCTGGGGCTGCCTGGGGCCTGCCCAGCGTATCTGCTGTGAACTGACATGGACCCAGCCTGTCTGGGGCTGCGCTGGGGCCCAGGACCTCAAACCCAGATTCTCAAAACACCTCGCAGTCTGTGCTTTATACATACATTCAACCAGAGACAAGGTGAGGGAAGAACAGAACTGTGAGCCCAAGTGCGGCTCCCAGGTGTGAGCACAGGTGTGAGTGGCTCCTACCTGTGCTCACACCTGTGGGGGCATCCAGTGCTGGGGGGCAGCATCCTTTCAGGGTACAGTGACGATGGGGATGGTGCTGGGGGTCCCCTGATGGGGATGGTGCTGGGGGTCCTCTGAGGGGGACGGTGCTGGAGGGTCATGGGGGGACAACCCCAGTGGTGTCCTATGGGGGGCAGTCCTGAGGTAGTGATGTCGTGATATGTCTTCATTTTATATAAAATCCATTTGCAATTTAAATAAAACCACCATCAGTAATTCTTTTCCTTTCTTTTGCAAATTGATGCCTCTGTAGTGTTTGTTGGAAAAGTGCTGAAGAAACTGTATCCTGAGGTTCCACGTGGCCAAGAGAAGAGGGCCCCAGTGAGTCCAGCCTGCAGAAACCCACCTGAGAAAGTGGCTCCTGAGAGAGCGAAGGGCAGGGGCGTCCCCCCCATGACAGGTGAGGGCGGGTTCCTGGACATTCCCCAGGAAGCCCGTGCCTGGCCTCAGGCCACTGGGGTTTCACCTCAGGGGACGGGCAGGTGTCGTTTTGCTCAAGCTCTGGGAGGACAGTTACTTCACTTGGGGAGGGAAGAAGCCAGCATCGGTGCCCCCAGCTGGGGCCGAGGTCAAGTTCGCCGTTGGTGTTGAGTTCATCTACATGCTGTTCCCGGTCGCAGAGACCGGACCCTGCTGCTTGGTCTCTCATCTGCCCTGTCACCCTGCCCCAGTCCCTGTCCACCCAGGACGCGCTCCTGACGTCTCTCCTGTTTTAGTCTCCTGTCCATTGCTCTTCACAGATGTCTGTCCAAGGTCCTCACACAGTGAGGTGGTCGGCCGTGGAGGCTTCTCTCACTCTGGTCCCCGTCAATGCAGCGGTGTTGCCCGGCGAGGGGCCACTAAGTGAGACACACGGAAGGAGGCCAGGCGAGGTGGGGGCAGCCCTGGCTGCAGCCCCTAGTGCCCAGGTGGACGTGAGAGGGCAGAGTTCCCAGCACCCTTTCTCGGGTCAGTTCTGTTTCTCTTTGGCAGTGACCCCTCACGGGGCTCTGTCCTGGAGTGATTCTGTTCCTGAGCGCTGGTCTCTCCTGCTGGCCTGGCCCGGTAACCTTATGTCCACAAATCCTGACCCTCCCTGGACCAGATCTCAGCGGCAGGCCCGACAAGCCCAGGGCATGCCTGCTGACCACAGGCTGGATCTCCAGAAATAATCGTGCCCACGCCTGTTTCACCCATGAGATGGCCGATGCCTGCAGACAAGAGGAACGCATTTCCCCCCCAGAATGGGGGGCTGCACAAGCTTGTCCTTCAGGATGAACCCAGGGCTGCCGAGTTCCCTTTCTGTGTCCTCATGTGCCTCGGTGTGGTTGGGATGCTCTGACCCCCGTGTAGCATCCCCCCAGGACCACCACTCTCTGGCGCACCTGCTGCTGTTCTGACAGAGAGCCTGCCAGGTGTAGGATGGACTCCCACCCCTGGAGTCACACTAAGGAATAGTGGCTACTATTTAATGCTGTTTTACCTTTCAAAGAGCATACTGTCGTGGGCTGAATTGTATCCTCCGTAATTCATACGCTGAAGCCCTGACCTCAAGATGTTGACTGTGTTTGGAGACAGGGCCTTTAAAGAGGTGATTAAGTGAAACGAGGCCATTAGGGTGGGTCCTAGTCCAATGTGACTGGTGAGATCAGGAAGAGATCAGGACCCGGACACACACAGCAGGACGACTGCATGAGGACACGGGGAGAAGACGGCCATCCACATGCCAAGGAGACAGGCCTCAGAAACCAGCCCTGTGACACCTCCATCTCGGACATCCAGCCTCCAGAACCAGGAGAGAAGGAACACGTGTGCTCAAGCCCCCACCTGTGATGCTGCCCAGAAAACTAACGTGACACCCGTTCCACCTGCGAAAGACGCACGTGGTTTTGAATAAGCACAGCACAGCTTAGCAAGGCGGGAACTGTGGGGAAGATGTGCCGCCTACGTGAGGAGCAGGCGTTCCTGGTTTTCTGTCCAAGTTTGACTGAACCAATGTTCTTAGTCTTTTTAAAAATTTTGTTTTTAGGGTTTATTTGCATTTTCTTCCCTCTTCTAACTTGACGGTTTTTTTTTTTTTTTTTTTTTTTTTTTTTTTTTT